TCCATTTTCTTTTCCATTCCCCCCAAATAACCCATATATATTGTATAGTAGTTTTCATTTTATTTTCCATTATCGCCATATACCCTAGACGTTTAGTGGCTGAGGGTCTAGGGTAAGTTTGCAACATCTGGAGAGGCGGTACAGTGCATGGGAGGGGAATGAAGATGACAGGATCTTGCCAGGGATTTGCAATGATATTGCAGGAGATTCTAATAAATCTTCTGGGGCATTCACAAATTTGCACGTCAATTCAGGGTTAGAATGTTGAATGGGCACGGGCCCGACATCAGGTGAGCGCGGACGACATCAAGGGCGTTGTTGTGGGAGTGCTGCAGGACCTGTGCTGCCACGATCCACTGACTGGGGGAAGTGGATTGTAAGTCGAAGTGAAGTGGATTCCAAGCCTCCAGCAAGATCCAACCTAATCAGTATGGACTGGATACCGGATTGGAATTTGATTCCTAGAGCACACTTTGAAGGCCTTTGTAGGGTTTGCTGTATGAAGGACGTGCTCGAAGGGGCTGGTGACCTGGACCTGTCGACCCCCTTGATGGAGATGGGCCGCAGTCTTAGGACGAAAGCTCTCCGCAGACTACATGCTTTCTAGATGGGTAATATTAGGGTTATATTGGGGTAATATTGGGGAAATTTCAGGGTTATATTGGGGTTATACTGGGGTTATATGGCTCAGATGGGTTCCCATTTTGGTTGGTGGAGGGTATCGCCTCGTGCAAGCATGGCGCTGGTGACCTGCATGACGCGTAGAAATCCCAAGCGCTTCAGCATCTATCGGCTGGGTCGCACTAGAATTGCTGGTGGGTCTCAGGGAGGAGTGGAAAACAGCTATTATCAGGGTGAGTGTATATAGGGCATTCATTCCCTCATTCCCCCTCAAGTAAGTAAGCTGGGAGCGTGCAAGTCGTCAGGTCTGGACTCCTTGGCCGGCGTTGAGTTCCGCAATCGGCTTCAAGCATCCTTCGAAGGACTGCAGCTGCTGCTGGCTCAGACCAACCCCCCAAAGCCCTATGAGTAGTATTTTATTTGGGGATACTATGCTACCCATTATAGAGTAAGATTATATCCTCCTTTTGGGGTATAGTATTTCATATAAGGAATATTATCTTACTAGGTTTAGCCACCCAAAAAAACACTGCTCCTATGTAACCCTGAATCCCAGAATGCAAAGCGTCGAGCTGACGCCGGCCTCCGAGGTCCTCAACGCTGATGTTTGATTACCCGACCGTGCCAGATTTGGTTGACTACATTCACTCGCAGGCATTGGGGATCAGGATGAGTGAGCTGCATCAGGGTTACTGGAATGCAGGATTCGCATAGTAGGGGTTGCATCAGGTTTATCTAAGTTCCTGGATACAGCTCCTGGTGTTGAGGTGGGACCTGCTGAAGATGATCTTGCAGCCGTCGGGGGTGCGACTTTGGGTGATGTCGGTGCTATGTTGGCCATTGCAGCTTGGACAGACTGCATGATACATGATGTTGCGCTTCCCACTGGCAAGGTTGCAAACTAGGGTTCTGAATGAAGCCTGCGCGCCAACGTATTCCCATTCCTCAAGGCCAGCCATGCTGGACGCTATCCCGGCTGCTTCACCAACAATGTGCCTTGCCAAGATCAAGATGCAGCAGATGCAGCTCCTAAGATCTTGCTTAGCAGCATCATTACCTGGAAGTGAAAATAAGCGCCATTCAGCAACTGCTGCCGTTGCCCAGGTGGAGGAGTATTGGCACAACATGAGCTGCGGCTTTGCCAGGCGCTCAGTCTTGTGGCGAAGGGACTCCCAGAGGGTGGCGCGCATTTGTATATCTGTCTGGCGATGGCATGGGCTTCAGAGCTCAGCATCCGTGGCCAAGGACACCACCACAGAACTTCCACCTGAGCGATGGGATATGGACCCCTTGCAGTTGCTTGAAACTTCAACTGCTGCATCTCGTATGCCTTCACCTGCTATCTCGCATTGCTGCGAGTGTCAAAAATTGCGGCCTGCCCACTGAATCCGGCAGGATGCCTACTACGACCCCGATGTGGATGCACCAGGAGAGCGGTGGCTGTTGGTGAGTTTAGTTGACATGAGAATTCACAGTTTGCGCTGGTCTGCCTGCGTTGTGTATCTCTGTAGGCAAGACCTACGTGCGCCTGGGGCACTTCATCCCAGGTCCGCTCCTCAGAAAAGCCTTGCGAAGGGACGCTGGCGAGGGCCCTTCTCTAAGGCATCGACCAGTTCGACGGAGATTTCTTCGGTGTCTCCGAGGCAGAGATCCGATCCATGGACCCTCATCAGTGGCTTGGATTCCCGTTGTGCAAAGGCGACAACCCTCTCCTGTTGATTCCTTTTGCCTGTGTCAAGGTGGTTGACTCTGGAGATCAGCCGTCTTGCAGCAATTATCTCCTTTGTGCCTGTGCAAGTTGATGTGCATGATTTTGGGGTCGCACACGCAAGGAGTCTGCATTCATGGGTGCTGGGTGCTTTTTGCGGAGCCATGCAGCGAGATCACTTCAGTTTTCTGGGCCTCTTAATTGACTTTGCTTTCCGCAAGTCAAGGTTACGAGGCCTTCCATGCCGCTGGCTTGAACAAGGACCCTGGCAAGCTTCTGAACAAGATGCAGCGCAGAGTTTTGCAGAGATTCGAGCCATGCCGCCAGTCACTGGAACCTGTAAATGCAGGAGTCCCTGCAGGGCATGGACTGTGGCGTCTTTGTCGGCTGCTGTAACTTGGGAGGAAACGATGTGGATCCGCTTGGGTCGCTGGGCTGCAGCTTAGAGCATGATAGGAGTACAGCAGGCCCACTTTGTAGCCAGACGAGATGAACAACCTGAGGCTTGGTCCCTTCTCCAACATCGGCTTCGCATACTCGGGCCTGTCAGGCATCTGCCAAATTGAGAGTTCATGCCACCCCCCGTGCTTGCTGGGCAGCTGCGGAAACATGGCATGTGTCACAATGCAGGCCGAGTCTCTCACGTCCTGTCCTTGCGCGGTCCTTGCTTCACGGTGGACACCGCCTGCTCTTCGACCATTGTCGCTCTGGACTCGAGTTGTCAGGCGGTCAAAATGGGCAGGCCAGGCGCAGCTTAGTAGGCCCAATCGTACAGTTTGGTTGGAAAGTGTATAGAATTAAGACGTATAGATCCTGAAGAACGTCAATAGTCTGGATAATTTGGTCAGCTGAGGACAGGATCATGAGTTTGATCCTTGATGTTCATGTCAACATGGGCTAAGTACATGGAACGCTCAAGCTGGACAGGTGCCAAAGTGCTGTGGCAACCGGCGCCAACGTTCAGTTGTCCGGCTGCATTTGGGCAGCCTGGCAAAAAATAGTTTCTGACAGACATGCAGTTTTGCGTTCTTACCTTATGAGGGGCTGCTGATGTCGATCCCACGCAGCTCAGACCAGCTGCTGCATCGGCAACCGAGGTCGGATTCTCCAAAATGCGGGGCTTGGCTTTTGACGGCCGATGCAAGACCTTCGACTCACGGGCCGACGGCTTTGCGCGAGGTGAGGGAATTGGCTCTGCGTTCATCCGGCAGGGCGCAGCTGAAGGATCTGAGGTTGTCAACCTGGTCGGCCTCACTGGGGTTGCTATCAACCATGATGGTCGCGCGGCCACCATCACTGCACCCAACGGAACTGCTCAGCAGCGAGTTCTGCGTGCAGCGTTGGCAGACCGCGGTACGCAGGGTGAGGATGTCACCTGTATCGAGTGCCATGGAACAGGCACTGCATTGGGTGACCCCATCGAGGCAGGAGCAGACACTTGAACTTAGTGCTTGATCCTTTAATCTGTTTGCCAAGGCCATGATTCTGCTTTTCTTTTTGGTTCAGCAATGTTCAGCACATGTCCTGCAACATTGTTTGCAGGTGGGTGCGCAGAAGGCCGTTTACGGAAAGGGTCGAAGTGAATCCCAACCGCTGATCCTGGCTGCCACGAAGTCCAACATCGGGCACTTGGAAGGCTGGTCCTTTGCCTTTGAGAGGGGGCAGTACAGCAGTTGAAACCCAGGGTTGCTTGCCGTCCCATGTTGATATTACAAATCCCGCCTGACCCTACGCGAATTGCTGCGGTTTCCTAAGGTCATGCAGGATTTGTAGTAGTAGTTTGGTATCAACCGTACGTTTGCCAGCTGCTTTGCCCATGCAGGCTCGGCCGGTGTGGCCGGCATTTCCAAGGTTGGGGGTTACCAAAATTAGGCCCTTTGGGTCCAACTTATGCAGATGCTAATCTCTGGGGGTATACAAGGGGTACGCCCGCTTTTTTCTCACAACTTCAACTTCGCAGGTGATCCTGGCCATCACCAAGGCGCACATCACTCCGAACTTGCATCTGGAAACCTTGAATCCCAACATCGACCTGACCGGCTTCCAAGTTCTGAAGCTCACTCATGCTTAGTAGGGAAGAGGGAAGCACATCCCTACAATGATTAATCCCTACCTAAAGTCCCCTTATAGCATCTTATAGCCTTATTAAGGAACCCTTGAGAATGGACATGGGGTTCCTTGTAGTTTAGTTTAGTCCCTAATCTAGTCCCTAATAAGGACCCCATGTCCATCAGTTATCTGGGGAATATTGGCAGTAGCTCTAATATGAGTACCTATATGATGCCAGTCTTCATTTAATTTTCCATTTTCTTTTCCATTTGATTCTCCATTATCCCTAAACTCAACACTCATGTGGGAAATCGTGGCAGTAAGGATGCCAGACCCCCCACGTAACTATAGCAATAATAGTAAAACCCTAAACCCTAAATCCTAATAATATTCCCCCCCCCATAATAAGGATGCCGGACAAGCTTGTGGAGTGGAAGAGCGCCAGCCTCCGGTCCGGCGTCTCCTCCTTCGGGTTCTCGGGCACCAATGGTCATGGCCTGATGGAAGCCATCCTCACCCAGCCCTCGGAACCGAAGCCGGTCAAGCCCATGAACTTTGCCCGCAAAGTGTTGAAACCCTGGAGAGACTAGGTTGCTGTTAAGGAACTTGATTTAAGTTACTCTATTGGGGAAACCCTAGTATTTACTAATATATACCCATTATGGTAACTTAATTTAAGTTCCTTAACAGCAACCCAGGAGAGTGGATGCAGAAGGTGACATACTTTGAGCAGTGGGTCAAATCTGACTGGACTATGGCTTCCCCAATGGATGGGCAGGCCTTCGTGCTGGCAGATGCCTCCTTGGCAGATCCCCTCATTGCCTCGTTGCCTAACAAGGGCGTAGCAGTGAGCCAGGTTGGCACAGCCACCGCAATCGGTGAGAAGATGAAGAGCTCCGGTGCGGCTGCGGCTGTATTTGCTCGGTGTTTGGAGCCTGGAAAGGCGGATCCTCTGCCAGGCTCGCACTTGGAGGAGCTTCTGGCATTCTTGCAGGGTGCTATTCTGGCTGAGCTGCCAAAGCTACTGGTGGTGGTGACCCGGGGTGCCTATGATGCCAAGCGCAAGAGCTTCGATGCCGGTGCCGCCATCTGGGGCTTGATCCGGTCGGCGAGAATGGAGATGCCTCGGGTCACGATCAAAACAGTCGATGTCGCGGTTGAGGCCGGCACTGAGGAAATTGCCAAGGCAGTTGCAGCCGAGCTGCAGGGGCCAGAGGGGGATCTTGAGGTGGCTTACACTGCGGAGGGCCGCTGCGTCCCACGGCTGTTGGAAGCTCCTCAGAATGAGGCTGCAGCCATGCAGAAGCATGATGCCATGAGGGACGCAGACTCTGCAGCTGTGAAGAAGGGCTTCTCGCTCGTGACCGGTGGTCTTGGAGGGCTTGGAAACTTGGCCGCGACTAGTGATTAATGCCAACTAGAATGGAGGACATACGAGCTTTTAATAGCAACACTAATTAGTAGTAATAGCAATAGTAGTAGCAATCGTAATAGTACTAGCAATAGTAATAGCAATAGTACTTACTAGCAATAGTAACAGTGGTAGAAATAATAACCTAACATTGATTACTATCACTATATTCCTACATTAGTGTATTATTACATTAATTTGTTACCTATCTCCTGTATCCTCAGGCTTAGTGGCGGCTGAGGAGCTTGCAGCACTTGGTGCGCCAGGCCTGTACCCACCGCCCCGTGTGAGCCATAATCTAAATTCTTTAAAAGGGGATATATATATATACATATAGATAGAGTTTAGGGTTTAGGGTCTAAACTCCTTAAAGGGGTTTATATATAGGGGGTTTATATAGGGGACCATTATAGGGGTATTAAGGGGGATGCTAGGAGTTTAGACTATAGCTCATGTGAGTTGCTGTCAAGATTAGCCTTCATAAGGCACCCTTAACATTTGACATAGGGATCTCTCTGGTGTCACTAATATAGTCTCTAACAAGGAACCATGTCCGTTAAATTATGTAGGAAGTACTCCCCAAACCCTTAACCCTATATCATTACACCCCGTTAAACTGTATTACGTAATATTGACTGTCGCTCATGTAGGAGTTTCTTGCATTTGGTCTTGCGGCGAGGCCTTGTGCTCACTTCGCGCAGCGGCCGCGTTGCCGAGGGTGCAGGGCTGAGGGTCTGTCCATGTCAGACGTTATAAACCCCCCAGTTTCCATTTTATTTTCCACATTCTTTTCCATTTGATTCTCCGTCATTATTTGTAATACCCTAAATCCTAAACCCTAAACCCTTAAGGGTGCCTGAATCCATGATTATGAGTAAAAACCCTCATTTTAGGCCTCCACCTGTTGCTTGATGAGGTCAGAAGCGCCTGGAAGAGCAGCTCCGAAAGTTGCAGGTGTCTGGATTACGGGCTTAAGGTTTAGGATCTATGTTTCAGAAACCATATTAATTACGATATATACCCATTGTGGTAGCTTAACTTAAGCTCCCTAACCCTAAGCCCTAAACCCTATATACCCCTATAACCCTATATTATGGCAATCTAATTAATTCAAGTTCCTTAACAGCAACCCAGGCGTTGCCAGGCCTGTGCCTCGTCCGCAATCTGCACTGTCCATCGTTTTGTGCCTTGTAAGTAAGAGTGCTAGTAATAGGAATAGTACGAGGAATAGGAATAGTAATAGGAATAGTAATAGAAAGAGTAATCGTAAGAGTAAGAGTAAAAGTAATAGTAATAGGCATAGTAATGGTAATAGTAATAGTAGTAAGAATAGTAATAAAAAAGAAATAGTAATAGTAGTAATGGAAATAGTAATAGTACTAGGAATAGTCATAGGAATAGTAATAGTAATAGTTCCACCTGTCCATGCTTTGCTTACTTGCGTTGACGTGTAGGATGCCACCTAGGAAAGTCCACTTGAAGATTTGCAACGCGGGCAACCCGGGAGATGTTGCCAAGCTGGTGAAGGAGGCTAAGGAAGCTGGCGAACCTGTCGAAGGCCGATGGACTCCTGCAAAAGAGAGATTTCTCAGAATCGTAGGTTTTGGGTATATTGAAAAAAAGGATCTCAATATGTTTTTGTGTATATTTATAAATAGGATTCCAAGTTTTTAGGTTTGCAAAGAGGATTCTACTGTTGATAGAGAAAGGCGGTCTTCATTGTCCTAGACTGACCCAGGCATTTTACATGCCGCGGGAGTGATGGATCGCTGCCCCTTGCCGGAGCTGGACAAAGCACATTTGGACAAGGCTACGAGCCAAAAGCTTGGGTACCGCCCCGCCATAGCAGACGGATAATATTACTAGGGTTTAGGGTTAAGGGTAATGATATGGTTATATATAGTCCGTAATAGGACCCCTAATATAGACTGTTACAGGGTGGGGGCAGTATCCAACCAACAGTTATCATGCCGAAGCCCTGAATTGTATGTGAATTATTGATCTTCTGCAGAGGGAGATGAGGGCAACCTGAATTTGTTCTAAGTGGCGCGGTGGGTCTTAACCGTCTGCACCCTTAACCCCTAAACCTTAAATCCTAAATCCTAAACCTTAAACCCCAAACCCAATCTCTCAATCTGATTCCCTAAAATGATAGCAGATTGCAGGTGCTGGCTCCAAAAGCCAATGGTGCATGGCATTTGCACAGCGAGTGCCCAGACAGCAGCCTCTTCGTTCTCTTCAGCTCGGTCTCGGCCATTGTAGGCCTGGATGTGCTAGACTGAGACCTTTGCAAGCTCTTAGAAGGGGTTATATCGGGGATTATATAGGGAACTCCTTTCGGGGTTATTAAGGGGGATACCAGGAGTTTAGACTATGGCGCATAGCCTTTTTGGGTGTTTTTTGTTACTTGCCAGGCCTCGCTGGCTCAGCGTCCTACTCCTCTGCCAATGCGTACCTCGATGCCCTGGCCAGCTGGCGCCGCGAAGCTGGCCGCTCCGGCGTCAGCCTACAGTGGGGCCCCGTGTCGGAGGTGGGTGGTTGTCAAAACTATGGTCCCCTTTTTGTGTACCCTAAATATTAGGGGCCGTATTATAATAGGGACCCGAAAAGGGACCATAATTTTGACAACCACCCAGGTGGGTATCACTGCAGCTGCTGGCAGCGACAATTTGGAGGCATGACCCTGAGCTTCTGCATCTTCGCCGTAATCTTGGTTTTGCGAGCAGATGCTGTGCTTGTCTTGTTCTCTGACGCAGAAGTGCGTAGAATGTAACGGCATTCAACTTGAGTCCGCATGTTGTGAGCTTATGTTTGTTGCTTTGCTGGCCACCAGCCTCATTTGTTGACTTCCGGAGGCCATGGCCCTCAAGACGCTGTCGCCTGCACAAGTGGGCAGTGCCCTTCGCCTTTGCCTGGCTGCCCCAACGCCGCGTGCGGAAGTAACTGGGTTGCTGTTAAGGAACTTATTTAAAGATACTATATTGGGGAAACCACATTACTTGCTATATACACCGGTTATGGTAACCTAGTTTAAGTTCCTTAACAGCAACCCAGGTAATGTTGGCGAGAGTAGACTGGCCTGCCTTCATGCGGGAGATTGGCATGGAGATCCCGCAGCTGATGGACCTGAAGTCTAAGGAGGCCACAGGTGGCGCAGCAAAGGCAAACCAAGGCCGGCATCAGGTAGATGTTAGGAGGACCCCCCACCCTGTAATAGTGGTATAATAAGAATATAGGAGGACCCTAATTTGATCCCTACTATCCCTTATAGCCACTATTACTGGGTGGGGGGTCCACCTAAGTTAGATGGAAGGTCTGGTCGCCTTGTATACTCCAAAGATAAAATAGCGATGCTGGGGAGGTCCACCACAAAGGGAAAGTTTGAGACACCACAGTTTTAAGTTAACGCAAGAAGTGAGTGGTTGCGTAGACCGGCATCGAGGTCTAAAGAATCTTGGGACTTGATGATTCTTGTCGTCTTGGGCTTTTTAGATTTTTTTTTGGGTTCCTTTTCTCAGAGAGTCGCGCTGTTGGCTGCGAGTTGATGCTCGGAGCTACATTTTGGTGTACTGTATGATATGGGACTTGCTCACAAAGATGCCTCATATTCCTTCATACTCGTGGGGCTCCTAGACTTCCCCGACAGTCGTAATCCCTGCATATTGGGGTTCCCAAAATTAGGAGTACTTTTTTGGGGGTCGCGATAAGGTCCAGCCTCGGTGTCCCCTTGTTTTGGGATCTCTTGGGGCCTCGATTTTTCTCAGCTCCGGTGTCAAAATTAAATGACCCTGGTCAGGTGCAGGAAGTACCCTGGCGCATCTGCCGATGGAGGAGTCCTTTTCTCAAACATTTCGCCCCAAATCTGATTCCCTCAGCTCTCAACCCTCATCCACCCTTGTACCGCTAACACTCCTTCCTAGAACACGCAATTCGGAAGTCGCAAGCCCTAGACTCTCAAGCCCCTTGTGGATGCCGACTGGGTTGCTGTTAAGGAACTTAATTCAAGTTGCTATACTAGGGAAACCATACTAACTACTATACATACCTACCTATTGTGGTAACTTAACTTAAGTTCCTTAACCCTAAACCCTATATACCCCTGTATACCCCTATATACCCCTATATACCCTTATATACCCTTATATATCCCTATATACCCCTATGAACCTATATTCTGGTAACTTAACTTAAGTTCCTTAATTAACAGCAACTCAGCCGATGCAGGAGCGACGCGGGGAGGTTCTGAAGTCCATCCGGACGGCGGCCTCAGGCATGGGCCTGGAGACTTGGATGCGGTTTAGGGTTTAAGGGTTTAGGGTTTAGGGTTTAGGGGTTTAGGGTTTAGGGTTTAGGGACTTGGCTGCTTAAGAGGCAGCTTTCCATCTGAAGAGCATTAGGGATATTGGGGACTATATAGGGACTATGTAGAAATGTATAGGGACATATAGGGACTATCTGATGGGGATATAATGATTGCAGCTGAATTTACACACTGCACCCTTGATACTGTCCACGTGTTTTTCGGCATGATGAGAATTAGACATCATCAACTACAGCCGACATCTTCTCGGAGTTTGGGGGTGGGTCTTAGATTTTCGTTTAGCCGATTCTCTGAATGATGGCTGACTCTGTAAGCCTGTAAGCAGAGCTGAGGAGATGGATGACAACACACCTCTCATGGAGGCTCCGGAATGTGGCGGTTGGCCCAAGCTGTAAGACTCACCCCTTCAAGCTTGCGTGAGCCATCTCAAATCTGTCATCGAGCATGATTCGGTGCCAGGAAGGGAAAGTCGAGGTCATGAGCAGTTAGTATCCTGTTTCCATTCTAGATGCCACTAACGTTTTGTAGTATAGCTCCCGAGAAAAAGGAGGTTTCCTAAAATTTGGGGATACCTTTTTGGGGGTCCCCAATAAGGATTATGGTATATTGGGGTCCATATTGGGGTCCCCTTATTTTGGGAAACTACCAAATTGAGACTGCCTCCTGGAGTCTGAGAGCTACAACTTGTACAGGCCGGCATCGATTCGCTCTCAGCTGTTGAGTTCAGGAACAAGGTGGGGGCTATCGCCGAATGCCCAGAAGTTATATGGGGTTATATAGGGTTATATATGGGTTATATGGGGTTTTATGGGGTTATATAGGGGTTATATATGTATAGATTACGCGAATATCTTTTTGTTACCTGCTTCATATGCAAGGGGTGTTTCTAAAAAAACAAAACTTTTTTAAGGAGCCCCCGCCAAAGGAGCAATTCTTCAGAACCTGATGAGCCTCGCCTGTGCAATGATGGCCTTGGGCAAATAGGCTAGATGTTGAATAAGTCACAGAATCATCATGCCAGGTCTCAAACGAATTCCGCTCCGTCCGCTTGCCCAGCACCCTGATGTTCGACTACCCGACTCTCACTGCGCTGGCGGACTACGTGTCTCAGCAGCTGGTGCCAGACACCTCAGTGGCAATGGAGATGCCTGCACAGGTGGGTGTAGATCCCCTCGAAGGAGGATGTAGTTTCAATTCTAATGTAAATTGGGGAACCCAATATAGACCCCAAATTACCATGGTCCTTATGAAAGGGACCCCCATAAAGGTACCCCTGATTTTGGGGGCAGCCCTTGACTGGAGGCCCACATTTTTGACCCATGCGCAGGTGGCGTCACGGGCAGGTGCAGCGACCTCCAACGAGGCCATCGCAGTTCTTGGCGGAGCCTGCCATCTTCCCGGTGACAGCTGGTCCTTGGAGAAGTTTGATTTCATGTTGTCCCAGGGTGTTGACTGCAGCGTAGAAATGCCGCAGAGCAGATGGGATGTGGATGATTACTATGATCCGGACGCCACCACTGGCTTGAAGATGTACGTGAGACACGCAGCTTTCATTGAGGGTGTGGAGCTTTTCGCTGCAACTGCCCGGAACTGAGTCCCCAGCACTCCGTAGCGTATGCTGCTTGCATATCTTTCAGGGAACAGGTGTTGTTTCATCTGAGGCCTTCAACATCAACAAGGCCGAGGCAGAGACCATGGACCCTCAGCAGCGCCACCTGCTGGAGGCTGCTTTTGAGGCCTTTGCTGGTGCTGGGCTCGGCAAGAGCGTGCTCATGGGCAGCTACGGCGGGGTCTTTGTTGGCCAGGACAAGTGCGACTGGAACCGCATGATTACAGGGGCCCAGAGCGGACCTTATGCTGCAACCGGTGGTTCCTCATCCATCAGCGCCAATCGCATCAGCTATGTCTTGGGATTGAAGGGTCCAAGCGCCACCATGGACACCGCATGCTCTTCGTCATTGGTTGCAGCCGACACAGCCGCAGTCACACTCCGACGTCGAAGATGTGATCTGGCGGTCGTCTGCGGCGTGAACATGACGCTGCTTCCGCAGACCTTTGTCGCATGCTGTCAGGCACAGATGCTCTCAAAGAGTGGTCGCTGCCGCACCTTTGATGAATCCGCAAGTGGCTACGCACGCGGTGAAGGTGTGGGTGCGCAGGCCATGGAGCGCCTTGGCAGCGTCAGCGGAGATGCCGGGCTGCTGGCGGAGCTTCGCGGTTCCGCGCTGAATCAAGATGGACGAAGCTCCAACCTGACCTCGCCCAACGGCCCATCCCAACAGGCCGTGGTCCTGGCAGCGCTTACGGAAGGACAAGTCCAGCCAGGTCGACACGTTTGTTTGGAGACCCACGGTACAGGCACAGCCCTAGGAGATCCTATCGAGGTGGGTGCTTTGCAGGCCGCCCTCGGAAGCTCGCGGCTTCAGCCTTTGCAGCTCGGTGCTGCCAAGACCAACGTGGGCCACTTGGAAGGTGGCGCAGGGATGGTCGGCCTCACAAAGCTGGCATCACTCCTCTCCCGGAACTGCCTGCCTGCAAACCTGCACTTGAGAGACTTGAACTCCCACATCTTCGACGACATCGAAGATTTCGCAGTGAACTTTGTCTCAGAATCTTGCCGCTCGGCAGTGGCTTTCACTCCTCTGCCCTCTGTGCAGACCAGTCAATGTCAGCAAAACATGCATCCACTCTTTTGTGTAGGGCCCGGGGCTGCTACAACGAAATTTTACAAAGCTACCACAATCACAGGGCCTCCATAGAAGGGAGCAGATGGGATGAACCAGAAGCTTTCCAAAGCAGCTCAGTCCCAGGTCCCAGCCAGATCATGGCAGCTGCATCAGTGTCCTCTTTCGGCTTCGGTGGCACAGATGCATGTGGCATGCAGCTTGCTGTGCCGAGTCTGCCCATGGGTTTCTATGTACTGAGCACGTTTGTTGTAAAATGCATCCAGGCGGCACCAACGGGCATGTGTTGCTGGCCCGTGCTGCTGCATCCAAAGCAGGCGCGAGACGTCACATGTCTTCATTCAAGGGTGTGTGCCACTCAGGTGCGACAGTTGAGACCACGGCAGACTCTTAAGCTAAGAGCAGAGCACTGATAGCAGAGCTCCTCAAATTCAAGCAGCCCGGCAAGTGCTGTCTGCTTCGCAACACCCTCTTTGCCTCCTGGATTGAGGAGCACGAAGCAAGTCTGTCCAGCGGGCTCAGACTGAGCCACAGAAGACTGCCTTCCTCTTCACAGGCGGGAGATCATGCTATGCTATGTAGGGATACTTCCCCCAATACTGGAGAATCAAATGGAGATGGGAATGGAAAATGAAACGGAAACCAGGATTAGGGTTTAGGGTTTAGGGTTTAGGGACCCTATAGAAAGTGAGGGGATCATACAATTATCAGTATTGATTTGCAGTCTTACCTATATACTAGTTTTCATTTTCTCTTCCATTATCCCAATGTAAGCCTAAACCCTACACCAGCGTTCTTCGGGAGGCATGACCTAACGGAGAAAAGGTCCCATAAAAAGAAAAAACCTAAACCCTAAACCAATATAATCCCCTGGAGCTCCTTTATAGAAGATGCACCGGAGGACAAGGCTCCCAGTATGTGGGCATGGGCAAGCAACTCTACGACTCGGAGCCTGTCTTCAAGGAGTTTAGGGTTTAGGGTTCAGGGATTTAGGGTTTAGGGTTTAGGGATTCAGGGTTTAGGGTTTAGGGATTAAGGGTTTAGGGTTTAGGGATTAAGGGATTTAGGGTTTAGGGATGAAGGGAT